AGTTTTAGAGAGAGAAAGCTTGGATTTCCATGGAGTTTTTGAGAGGTTGAAGAAGCAACTTTGTGGAACTTCTTCTCATCTATTCAATGAGAATTTTCTAACTTTCTCTCATCTTTATTGCTTTGCTTAATTCTTAGTTTTTGCTTTTTGTTTGTTGATTTGAGTAGATTAATTAGTTTGTTTGTTTGATCTTGTTTTATTCTTATTTTACCTTGTTTTCCATGTCTATCTTCATTATGTTAGCTTAGGTCTTGTTCTAGGGAATAGGATGAAGGTTATATTAATGAATTGAATGATTGATTGTGATTAGTATGAAATTGTTTCTTGATTATTGTGTATGGATGATGCTTTTATGGATTAGAATCCTTCTAGCTAATCGATTTTATGCTCTTAATAGTGATTTCAATCAATTGTGCGAGAGTGAGTTGGTTGAGAGCCCTAAATTCTTCCATACCTTTGCTAGGCTAGTTGCACGAGAGTGAATTAGTTTAGTAGGATAATTAACATGATTAATTGTGCGAGAGTGAGTTAAATGTGTTGATGTTCCTAAGTTGTTGAATGCATTGATGTAATTGGATTCCACTTTCCCTAGTTTTAGTTATTTGCTCTTAGTAGTATTTGGTTTAATCTCTCTCTATCTCACAACCTTTCCTACTAGTCTAATTTGCACAAATTGATACACTTAGTCTTCGTGGTTCGACCCTTTACTTGCCACTAACTAGTTTAGTGTAAGTTTAGGTATAATAAATTTCTAATTTGGTTAGGGTTAGTAGACCAACGACCTACTCTTACCCGCGATCACTCTTTCTAATAACAAAATACACACTTTGTAACTTCATGGAAAACAAGAATTTAAACAATTAAATTAAATAACTGAAAGAGAGATTTGAGACCAAACCCTCAGAAATTAAAACCTTTCACGTCTAGGGCGAAGGCAACCTCGAACTTGGATAGGTGTTTCTAGATCTTATGATTGTAGAATTTTGTAGAGAAAGCTTGAGAGAGAGAAGAGATTCTTGAAAACTAGAGAGAACAAGAAAACTAATTGTTGTTGATGATTTTTTATTAGAATTGATGATTTTTTATGATTGAAAATGGAGGTTTTAGGAGGCTATTTGTAGAGAAAATTAGCCGGACGGATAAAAAACGAATCAGAGTTTCAACGTGAATAAAACAGATTAGCGCCAGACGCTGGACATTAGCGCCAGGCGCTGAAGGTTAGCGCCAGGCGCTAATGCTGTCGTCAGTCGCTAGAATAATTATTTCACGCGTTTTCTTAATTTTGATAAAATTTAGCCGTACAGAAGGGCAAAATCGTATTTTCCTTGAAAACAATTTTTTATTCTGATTAAAACTCTAAAAAGTAAACCAAAGTCAATTTATCAATGCTAATTAAATTAGGAATGAAAAGAATCTTCTAGAAGAATCTAGAAAACTAAAATCAATTCTAATTGCATTAGGAATGATAAAATTAGGCCCTCCTCTAGATCATTGGGCCGCACATAAAGATCAAATCGGGCCCAGTTTAGTAATTTAGCCATAACTTCCTCATTATTCATCGGAATTGGGCTTATATTATATCGTTGGAAATCTTTTTTCGAACCCGACCTAACTACACTCTCATTAGACCCTTGCCATGAACCACACCAAACTGGATTGGCTGTTTTCTTAAAAATAGGTTTTCAAAAACAGAGAGAAAGAATTAAAAACTAGCCGCAACACTAGACTTTCCACACTTTCACTTCATCCGATTATGATTCGACGTGAAAGGTACTCATCACTGGGATTGGTTTTGGGGAGACACAAATGGGTGTCTACAGCAGCAGATTTAGCCGGAGTTTTTGCCGGATCAACCATCTTCAAGGCATCGGCTGGAAGGAGAAAATAAAAATTTAGAGAAAAATAATAAAAGTTGAAGTACAAAAGCAAAAGCAACTGAAAAGCCGGATGCAAAGTGGATCTACCCTTGGGAAACATGGTGCTTAACCCCCAGGCGGACAGGAATCTTTCATCCTTGAAGAAGTCCGGATGGGGGATCCAGTTCTTTGGCACAATAATATGAGTCCCATCCCCCAAGGGCTCAGTTGTGGTTTCGAAGAAACCTGGCTCCATTATTTGCTCCCGGGCCCTAGAAGAGAGCGCCGGGAGAGGGCATTTACTGCCCAAGAGAACCAGTTCCTTATTGTACCGGCGCAGCGTCCGGTTGTGTCTTAGAGTGGGTGAGGAGACCAAATAAAATTTCTCCTTCCACCCGGACCATTTGGACACCTTGTCCAAAGTCATCAAATACTGAGGCAGAGTGGAAAAAGTATACCATGCCCCATGACCGCCTGGGGCCTTGCTCAAATAGTGCATATGAACAAAAGCAGAGAAGCTGGGGGCAATATTCTGGAGCTCGCAGACGGCAATATAACTCAGAATATTCACCCATGAGTTTGGGGTGAGCTGCCAGACACCCAAATTATACCCTTTCAGGATTTTCCTAATCCTAGTATGGAGGGGGAACCGGAGGCTGGCTTCTATTACCGCCTCATATCAGACAAAATAGTTGTCTGCATTTTCTATGTTGTCCTCCCAGGCCATAACCGCGTCCCCAGGCGGAAAAATAATATCCCACCCCTTTCCAAAAGGGTTCTTTTCTATGAAAGCCCTGAAGCCACTCTTCAGCAGGGCTATGTCACCCGGAAGCATTCTAATCTTATTCGGGTTAGGGTTGTCAGAAACCTTTGCCGGCTGCTGATAGTCAGCCGCAAAATTATCTTGATCGGAGCTAGAGGCCTCGGCCCCCGATCTTTCAGCGGCTTCATTGCCGCCTACCTCTTCCTCGGATCCATTAGAGGAGACGGCCTCTTCACTGTCTTCCTCCCTTACATTTGAGCTCCCGGAGAAAGACGGAGCCTCATCGTCAGAATCGCTTCTCTCCTCCGAATTCCCTTGTTCCCCATCCGGAAAAATCTCATCGCGCGGGCACTTCCATAGCGCGTCGGCTCCTAGACTTTCTAGCCGTCTGTTTGACTCTAGAGATTGTGTCCCGCACAGAAACAAAGAGGGAGGAGTTCGGGGTTGAGCAGAGCAGTTCTGAAAGTCCAGAAAAGGCACCCCTGTTCTAGATTCAGTCGTTCCGGGAGACCGGCTGAATGTCCTAGGCAGTGCCGAGTGTGTGGATTGAGAGCTCATTTTATTTTTAAAGACTATGTATACAGACGGAAAAAATAATGTATACAGTTTGAAAAGAAGGAAAAGCTAAAAAAATGGTACAGGCGGTTACCTTACATTAACCCTGGAAACTCTTAAAACTGCTACAGACGGTGACCGGGTGTTGCAAAGTTAGCACACGGAAATCTTGAGAATCTGATGTAGACGGAACAAGAGAATCTCTCTCTAAAAATCTCTCTTTCTCTCTCTAGAAAGTCAAATAAAATGAAATAGTGAGAGAAGGGAGGGGGGTAAACTTCTATTTATAGAAGGGTGAAACGGGGGCATCCCCGTCATACTTTAAATTTACTAGCCTTGTTACTGTTCACCTTTCATAGGTGGACACGTGTCACAGGCATCACATGACATCCACGTGACCCTTTTGAGGGGAAAATGTTTAGGGTAAAAATACCCTAGACATGTGGACCAATAAGAAAAGGCCACGTGTCAAGTTCAGGTTGTCCAAAGTGGCCCAATAGCCACCTGACACGTGTCTCCTTCAGATAACTTCTGAAATGGGCGGCCTTCAAGGGCCCAAATCCCAAGAAGCGCCGTAATTTAGTGCAGCCCACTAAAATCTAGGTCAAGTGACCTAGATAAGGGCACACCTACCAACGACCCTATAAATAGGGAGATATTTTCCCATTTTGGGGACACATTCAATCATTTATTACACCTACTTTCTCTCTCATCAGAGAAACATCTGAGCTTGGAATCCAAGCAGATACCCACCTAAATTTCCGTACTCTTTATTCTCTTTCAAGTTACTTACTTGATCTTCGGAGGCGGAGCTCCAACAACCGAAGTCTCCGTAGTTTTGCAGGTGCAGCTCGAGCCGGACCAATCTTTGTGACGTAACTCTTTCGAGCGACAAAAACACCCAAAACACTTAGCACCACATGATGTAGGAACTTTGTAAGGCCCCCACAAGTCTATATGAACTAAATCAAACAAATTACTAGCCTTATTTTCACTAATATGAAAAGTATCTCTAGATTGTTTTGCCCGATGGCATACATCACACACATTATTATTCTTTCTAATTGAGTTACTCACAGGAGGAAGTAACCTCAAAACTTTCTCCGACGGAAGACCCATGCATTGATGCCAAAAATCTACCACACAATCCACTGCTAGCACCTTCACTTGCGGCACACCTCGGAAAAAATAAAGTCCGTTTTCTCATTCACCCACGCCAATCACCATCCTCGTCGACTGGTCCTAAATAACACAAATTTTGTTAATAAATTGTATTGTACATCTTGACTCATCGCTTAATTGAGTAACAGAATTTAAGTTACAATTCAAATATGGTACAAATAAAACATTATCAATAATAAGACCACCCTCTAGTGTAACTGAACCCAATTGATTCACGTTCACCGTTTGACTATCCGGTAATCCTACAGGACAATTTTGAATTGTTTCAATGTTCCTCGTAATTGATAAATCATTCGTTACATGATTAGAGGCTCCAGTATCTACGATCCATGGGACTTTTGTCTTACCTTCTAAGCGAGACTTAGATTTATTACTCAACAATTCAATGATTTGTTGAGCTTGGTCAGAGTTCACACCCGAAAGACCTTGCGTAGAGGAAGATTGATTGCTGGTCGCTTCACTATTTACGCCTTCTTGTACAGTATTCGCCCTATGTGTAGTACTTTGAGAAGCAGTATTTCGCCCCCCCACTAGCACCACAACCTCCTTTGCTTCCCCCATGATCACCTCGACCGCGGCCTCTACCTCCTCTGCGATTCTCATCCCACCATTCGGGAAATCCGATCAATTTATAAAAACTCTCTTTAATCTTTATCATGACCTTCCCGATTGCAGTGGGTGCAAAAAGGTTTTTCACCATCACCCGAGCTCGACTTAACTCTTGAGTCTACTTTAAACGCCAAAACATTCTCCTTCGGCTTTCCATCCTTAGAGCAAAGTCTCTCGGTATTTATCACTGCTTGATACGCATTATCCACATGAGGCAAAGGGGTTTGTGCCAACAATTGAGCCCGAATTGCCTCATACGAATTGTCTAGACCAATCATAAAATAATATAAGTAGTCTTCATCTCTCATATCACCTACTTGCTTGGTGATATTACACTTACACTGTCCACAAGAGCACTTTGGAACGCGAGAATATTGTAGCAACTCCGTCCATATTTTAGATAAACGGCCAAAATACTCCGTCACCGACTCCGTGGTCGTTTGCTTACATTCTCCCAAAGAGTTCTTCAATTGACATACTCTAGTACCACTAACAACACAATATCGTTGCTGTAAGTGTACCCATAACTCGCTCACATAGTCATAGTCTCCAATGGTGAAGCGCAACCAATCATCCAATGTATTACTAATCCAAGCAACGAGCATGGAGTTGACTGCTATCCAATGCTTCCTCTGTGGAGAATCGGCAGCAGGGTCCTTAATTGAGCCATCCACAAATCCAAACTCCACTTAGCAATCAACGCTCGACGCATAGTCTTAGCCCACTCATCATAATTCGCCCCACGTAGCTTAATTGGGGTAATAATAATTCCGGGATGATCACTCGATCCCAGATGATAATTAAGATCAATAGGGGTAGGTGGTTGCGGAACTTCATCATCTCCCTTCGCCATCACTAATCACTGTCTCAGAGAAAAAAAATTTGAATTTCTAAATCCTAGCTCTTGATACCATGCCAAAATCAATTTTATACCTCAAAATCTCAATAATTCTCAACGTGTACATATATAGTCTACAACCTATTCCTAATTATCTTAGGCTTAGGAATAATTACCAAATCAAATATTTACATAAAGATAACTAAGGGATCCTAACAATATTTCCTAAATATTATCTTTACATAATATTATCTCAACCGGAAGACCTGTGGATCGACCCTTCTTCCCCATCTGCATAGTTAGAGGAACTTAGGAATTATTTTTGACTAGGTGATTTGACTTTATCCTGCTTTATATATATATATATATATATATATATATATATATATATATATATATATATATAATATATATATATATATATATATATATATATATATATATATATATATATATATATATATATATATACCTAGCAAATAGGTCATTCGGGTCAGGTATGGGTCGGGTCATTTTGGGTTTCGGGTTGATTTTGGGTTGACTGATAATCGGGTCGGGTCGGGTATTGGGTCAACACTTCGGCCCGAGTTTGGGTCGGGTCAAGTTTGGGTCAGGTCAGTTTGGGTCGGGTCAATTTTCGGGTCGAGTCAATTCGGGTCGGGTTGGGTCAATTTTCGAGTCAACTTCTAGTCGAGTCATATTCGGGTGATTCATTGGGTTAAATTCAACTCTGTATATATATTTATTTTATTTTTTTTAACGAAAAACTCACTATATTTATTAAGACTATTTTTTTCATGGATTATAGTAATTGTTTGACTTTTATTAACTTTTTTTTTATTATTTTTTTTCCTGTGTGTATAGAACTTTAGACTAAGAATCACTTTCCTGATCTCTTGAAACTAAGAGGGATGCTCTAACTAATTGAGTTATACCTCACTCTCTTATTGATCTTAGTTTTTCTACGTACTCTTATTATCATTATCATTGTTGTAATAATTTCTTTGAATTATTCTTATACTCCCTCCGTCCCAAATTACTCTTAAGGATTTGACATTTTGCACTATTCACACATCTCACTTTGACCATCTTTTTTAGCTATTATATGAAAGTCAATGTAGTCATGTAAGATGTTGTTGGCTCTATTTTAATGTATAATTTCCCAATATAAACTTTTTATAACTTATATAATTATTTACTAAAAGATGTTAAAGGTCGGATCATTTTCGGGTCAGGTCAACTTCGGGTCGGGTCGGGTCGGGTCTCGGGTCAACTTTGGGTCAGGTCATCTCGGGTCGGGTCATTTTGGGTTGGGTCATTTCGGGTTTCGGGTCAAGGTCGGGTCAGTTCCACTTCGGGTTGGGTATGAGTCGGGTCGAGTTAATTCTTGTTTTTGGTCAATTTCGGGTCATGGGTCGGGTCATCGGGTCTAGGTCAGGATTGCCAGGTCTAATATATATATATATATATATATATATATATATATATATATATATATATATATATATATATATATATATATATATATATATATATAAAACACATTAAGACATATATATATAAAAAACACATTAAGACATAGTTCAATGGTAAAATTCTTAATAACTAACATTGAGATCAAGGGCTCAATTTTATTTTTTATTGTGTAATAACATGGTATAATAGTCAATAAAGAAAGTAGAGAGTGTCATGTGGCATGTAGATTTGATTCGAAATCCCATGAAGAGTGTCACATGGCATGTCGACTTGATTTAAAACGCCTATTAATATACTCCCTCCGTTTCATAATGTTAGTCTCATGTATTATTTTAGGCGATTAAAAAATATCTACCCATATTAAATATTCTTTCATTTATAACTTGATTTTTTTGGAATTAATTGGTTGTGGATTGATAACATGACTAGTAAGAAAATCTTGACCTTAAATTATGTCATTATGACTTGTGCTTTCCTAATAAAAAAGTCAAAAAAGTTAAATAAGGTAAACTAATTATGAATTATGTTGTACTTTAATATTCGATTTCAAATATATTTTTTTTCTTATTTTATGTGATTGATTCCATATGAGACTAATATTATAAAACGGAAGGAGTATAAAGTATAGATTAGACTCGAAACAATTACCTACATACGGAGTAGAAAACATGCCATTCTTTTTTGCTCTACCAACTTTGCTAATTTTAATTATGGAATAACTACACTAATAATACACACATTGCAAAGCTATTTTTATTGTGTAGAAAACGTAATTACACTTCTAAGTAAGAGAGCACATAAAGGATAAAGCCAGTCCAACCAACAAAACCACCAAATACCTAGCCTTTGTACCGGCTATAATTGCAATAAATCTGCAATGCAAACGTATGATAATTAAACTAATAATACACACATCTCAAAGCTTCTTCCCAGCTAAATCTTCAAGAGTCAGATTTAAGGAATTAATAGGACCCTTTTTCACCAATTCCTCACGGGTAGCAAGAAGGTCCTCGATGCTCCCTGGCTCCCCAAACCATCCAAGTCGATCTGCAATGAGATGAAGATTATCACATCCATCACAACGCACAACAACTACACCATTCTCATATGATTCACGACTGCACGACTTCATTTGTCTTGTTTCACAAACTTTACATGTAAAAACCATGGCAAGATCATGTCGCGGGGATGTTTTCAATTTACTCATCATATCTTTGTTCACTATATTTTGAGCATCAGCCTTTAAGCCAGACGGCGCCTCAGAACTGCAGCAACTAGGTTCAAAGCTACTATCTGCAGCATTTTCTGTAAATAGTCTCCTTTGGGAAATTGCTTCTGAATGTATCTGAAGCACTCTGGTCAAACTAGCGTATTTTTCGCAGATTACATTGGTCATAGGAAGAGGGTGACAAGATGCTCCTGTAAAAATGTATGAAAGACATGTAAGATTCCCTTGTATAGTCATTTTCCAAGTAAATGCACATGGCATCCTAGGAACACAAAATGACCATGTAAATCAGAGTTCAGATTGGGCTACAAATTCAGCAAACCTGATCCAAATCCACAAACGTAACACAATGGCAGGACATGACACTGGCTTGGTTACATGAGTGAGAAGGAGAGGGGGAAATGGAGGGAAAAGGAAACAATGTCCCTTGCTTGGTTACATGAGTGAGAAGGAGAGGGAATCAGGGAATACAAATTTTTCTTGTTCATATAGCAGACTTGCAGTCGCTGTGAAGCAGATTATTATTTATTTTTTTTATTAATTTTAACCTTTTTGTTGTAATTTCAATTGCTTGAGAAGAAAAAAATAGAGAATTATATTTCAAGTAAATCAACACAAGAAAATGATAAGAATAAAGAAATTCGACCTCACTAAGCAGCAAGCCAAATATACAAGTGAGTGTGAATTAATCAAGGATTCAAGGAAGGAGATGAAGATTAGGGCAATTCCCTTGAATTGGGGAAATTTTTCCATCTACAGGATCAAGGGATAGGAGATCATGAGAGGGAGGAGAGAGAAAATTTTACCACATAAAGAGAGGAGAGAGAAGGCTGGGTAGATGTCATGAGTGAGACTGTTATCATTTACTTATAATTACGAATTATTATCCTATTTTCTTTCCAAATCATTCCAATTTTAAACATTGGTACATTAAAAAATGAAGGGTCATAAATCCCTCTTAATCTCTCCCACCCCCCCCCCCCCTTTTTATTTGCCTCCTTCACTTGTAACAATTTGTGTCATAAAAGAAAAAACAAAGTCATTGATTTGTCATGAAAATAGAGGTTTAACTTCTAACAATTTATATCGCAAAAGAAAACAATTAAAGAAGTAACATTCTTTTTCTTTTTTCTTTAGACAATCAAAACAGAAATTTTATTAATCATCAAATTCTCAAGTACAAAATAACAAAGAAGCCACAAAAATCCATCTCCCCGCCTTCTATGAAAGGTTGAAGAAGAAAACCTAGAACAAATAGAAACCCCTACATTAACAAAGCACTCACAAAATTACATGATTAGCAACGGCCTTAGACTTTCACTACAGCAACAAGAAACTCCAAAACTAATTGCCCTTAATACATAAAAAGGAAGGATCAGTGCCTTGATTCCTAAAAATACCAAATTTGATATAACAGCAATCCTGTGCAACATTTCCATGTACAGAAATGCTCAATATCTTTTTATTCTAAACCATTATATATGTGAGGGGGCAGGTTCAGATTAGTACATACCACCTGATATACCATTTTCAGGTCCCTAATATAAAAATTACCGAAGCCACTATGATTTAGTATAGGATCAACATTCACAAGTCCCCACATTCCCTAACCCCCAAAGAAACAAAAGAATTATTAAGGAAAGCATTAAAAAAAAAAAAAAAAAAAAGACCCTACAGTTGGGATTTGTTCCCATCTTTGTAAAAGTAAAACAATTGACCAAAGTTTAAACGCCTCTAATGCAAAAGAATCATGCCTCTTTCTTTTGAAATTGATCGCCCAATATTGCATAGAAATCCCTTTTGAAGAAATATAGCACAACAAGAAATTAAATTTAGTCAAGCACATCTGGTAGCACCAGGCTCTCCCCCATAGAATTTGACAAGAAATTTGCCTATATACTCCAAATCTCCCTTTGGAAAAGAAGCCTTTTGAACAGTGCATTGTTCAATAAAAATACAAAAACACCACTATTTCACATTTAATATGGTCATATCTTAGATACATTCAAAAACCCCTAGAGTATAAAACTCTAAAGGACAAGAAGACTGACAAACATCAACTT